ATATATATATTACATATATATCATTATATATATATTAATATATATATAGATATATATATATATATATATATATATATATTTGTATGTTGTGAGGTGTTGTGTGTGTGTGTGTACTCACCTAGGGTGTGTGAGTGTGTGTTTGTGTGTATGGTGGTGGTGTATGGTGGTGGTGTATGGTGGTGGTGTGTGGTGTGGTGTGTGGTAGTGGTGTGTGGTAGTGTGTGTGGTAGTGGTGGTGGTGTGTGGTGTGGTGGTGGTGTGTGGTAGTGGTGTGTTGGTTGTGGTGCGTGGTGTGTGGTAGGTGTGGTGGTGTATTGTAGTGGTGGTGGTGTGTGGTAGTGGTGGTGGTGTGTGGCTAGTGGTGGTGGTGTGTGGTAGTGGTGGTGGTGTGTGGATGGGGTGGGTGGTGGTGGTAGTGGGGGTGGTGTGTGGTAGTGGTGGTGGTGTGTGGTTAGTGGTGGTGTGTGGTAGTGGTGGTGGTGGGCAGTGGTGTATGTGTGGTGGTGTGTGGAGTGGCGGTGTTGTGTGGTGGTGTGTGGTATGTAATGTGTGGTAGTGGTGATGGTTGTGGTAGGTGGTTTGTAGTGGTGGAAGCAGTGGTGGTGTTTGTTGGTGGTTGTGGTGGTTCGTGTGGTAGTGGTGGTTGTGGTGGTAGTGGTGGTTATGGTGGTAGGGTGGGTATGGTGGTAGTGGTGGTTATGGTGGTAGTGGTGGTTGTGGTGGTAGCAGTGGTGGTGGTGGTTATTGTGGTGGTGTGTGGGTAAGGGTAATATTGAAGGATACATAACGGATGCTTTCGGGGGTCAACGCCCCCGCGGCCCGATCTCACATCTGGCTTCCTGGTGAATTCATAGCATGGTCAACCAGCCCGCGCAGTCTAACGTACGATCAGTACTGATCTGGGAAAGTTATCAAGGTTCCTACTGAAGATAGCCAGAGGTTTGTTGGTAATTCCCCTTACCTAAGACATGTAGGAAGGGTGCTGAAAAATCGAGGTTCTCCGACACTTACCGAGTTCTTTCTTACTGCACTCGTGGCACCTACTGGCACTGTATGGGCTAGTAGGCCTTCTGCAGTGTTCTTCCATTCATATGTTCTCACGTTACTCTGCACCCTCTGTCAAGTCTCTTATTTTAATACCCAGTGATCTCGGTGTGCAGATTTGGGATCAGTTCTTCAAGATTTCCAAGGTGTAATTATTTACCTTTCTCGCCTACTGTCCAAGGACTTCAAACATAGCAGCCAGTGTAAGTTCTCCATCTTTTTTTTCTGAAGCAAAAATTTTTTTTTTTTTTTTTCTATTTTAACAATCTTGCCTACCTTGAAGGGCGGTGTCAGTACGCAGAAGTATACCAGCTTGGACTGAACAAGTGACTTAAGTATCATGACCAGCTCAGCATCTCTTGTCTTGAATATTCTAGTTATCTAGCTTATCATCATCCTTTACGTGAGATCTGACATCCTCACTCACAACTCTTCCTCGTGTAACTTTCACTCTTCTAAAATTATTTGAATTAGTCTGCTATGTTCTTTAAGATCTTTACTTCATCAATCTTCCAAAGTGGAGGAAATTGAAATGGTCCTCACTGAAAATCTTATTGTTGAGGCCTCCGCTCTTATAGACTTGATTTATATCACCTGGAAGATTCAGTGTCGTTGACGCACGCCCTCTCAGAGTTGTTAATGGTTAACTGCTAAGGATGTTATGTTGTTGTGTTTTTAAATCTATGACGGATTTAAGGAATGAGAAACTAGAAGTGACGCGAGTATGAGCCTTGTAGAACAGATATTAAATATTCTGCTGCTCTATCACACCTGATTGCCCTTAATGAAGCCTTTTGGAATGTCACAGGTGGCCACGACCACCACTCTGCTTGCCCCGACCAACACTCTGCTGCCTCACGACCACACTCTGCTGCCCCACGACCACACTCTGCTGCCACACGACCACACTGCTGCCACACGACCACACTCTGCTGCCCCACGACCACACACTGCTGCCCCACGACCACACTCTGCTGCCCCACGACCACACTCTGCTGCCCCACGACCACACTCTGCTGCCCCACGACCACACTCTGCTGCCCCACGACCAACTATGCTGCTCCTCACGTACCACACTCAGGCAACTCTGTATTCACCAAAAAAGGTACAAAAAAAATAAACAAAAAATGTCTAAGTCTTTCACCTGTGTGTAATGGAGGAAACTCGCGTACGGAACAGTTCAGTTTATATGTTTTACTTATGGCACCCCATACCACCATTTTTTCCTGTGGGGCGGTAGCAAAAGTTTACAGAGGTACATATTGGTCCAGGGAATGGACTCCAAGTTTTTGATAGCTGAGCAAGTTACAAAAGGTAATGAACTAGTTTTGGTATTAATCAGACCAAGTTACAAAGGTAATGAGCTCGGTAGGGCTGGCCCAACTCATGCGAACCACAGGGTCATGATATTCAGTGAGGTCACATTAGTCATTAAGTAAATTGTTAAGACGATTTCAAGTGTATTGAAGGTGCCGTAATGGCCGCCAGTAAACCACTATCAAGTCAAAAATCCGGAATGTTACACTATCTAAATTGCATATCAAGAGGATATTACCCATTGGAGACCATTATATTATTATTATAATCAAGGGGGAAGCGCCTAAACCCGGATGATTATACAGGCGCTGGTCGGGGGGGGATATGTGGAAGGCATTCAGGCTTAATTCGGGGAAACTGGAGCAAAGATCAATTCCTAAATCAAGAGCCTCTCCAACATCATGGAACCTTCCTTGAGGGGCTCTGGAGACCAGAGTAAACATGAGTATGTCAGGTTGTTCACGAAGTCAACCAGTCTCAATCACTACTGTACTACTACCATCGTCTCGCACCTGACTCCTGCCTCTCTATATATACTCATTCATTCAGTTATCTCTGTAATAAGACTGAAGAAGCACCTAGTGGCGAAAACGTCTCCGTTATGTAAATGTTCTGGACTGCACATGTTTGTTTTTCCTCATTTGGAGGAGCCTGATACACAGGCTGTCGTCCCACACATATGGAGGAGCCTGAACACAGGTGTCGTCCCACCATATGTTGTGCCTGAACTAAGGTTGTCGTCCCACACATTATGGAGGAGCCTGAACACAGGTGTCGTCCCACACATATGGAGGAGCCTGAACACAGGTGTCGTCCCACACATATGGAGGAGCCTGACCACAGGTGTCGTCCCACAGTTACTGATAACCACTGATACTGCTCCGCTCTGCAAGGTGACAGTAAAGTAACCATGGTAAACTACACGCAAATACTGCTAACTCTTCCCACATTAAAAGTTTTTTTTCTTTGAATAAATCCTGTAAAAGCATCAGATGGACTCACAAACCTGGTCACACCAGGGCAGCGTGACCTGTCTTCCCATGCACTGACCTGACGCTCCATACTGACCTGCACGGTTTAGAGGCGTAACCTCCCTATAAATTCATGTTCTCATTTTATTTGTGTATCTGCTGAAGAGGACCTCAGCAGGGGGTTGAAATATGCAGATCAATTAATTTTCTAATTTTTTTGTGTCACAATGTGGGTTACTATTGAGCAACGACAAGTGAATGGTTCAGAAAACCGACAATTTGATAAATTAGACACATGTGCAACTCTTGGGTATCTTTATTGAGGAAACGTTTCGACACACAGTGGCTTCATCAGTCCATACAAAGGAGAATCGTGAAGAGCGGGAGGAGAACGAGGTAATCAGTCTCTCAACCTTGAGTCGATGTAGTCAGTCTATTCAAGATTGATGAACTGACCACATCGACTCAAGGTTGAGGGACTGATTACCTCATTCTCCTCCTGTTCTTCACGATTCTCCCTTGTATGGACTGATGAAGCCACTGTGTGGCGAAACGTTTCCTCAATAAAGATACCCATGTGTCTAATTTATCAATGACAAGTGTTCGTTACACTTTTTCAGTTATTCATTTAGCTTGTCTTCCAGTGCATCCAATAACATGTTATAATGGCTGAATCAGCAATTGTGGAAAACAAGAACTGCCGACTCTGAACCCAGGCTGCCCTGGCTTGTGCAATTTTTGCTACTGATATCGATGTGATAGGACGATCTTGGTTCTTAGGACCTGTTCAAAGAATATGATGTGTGTAGTTAGCACTACTGGTTTTTTGCCCCACTTCGCGAAGGCGGCTTTACTACCGCCTTCGTGAAGTGGGGCAACATCTGTGGTAATTAATGTCTTTGGAACAACACCTGTGTCCAGGCTCCTTCTCCATAGAATATTAAAGGCCCGAGACAATGGTTTCTTGCATTTTTAATGCATATAGAGCTGCCTAAGTCTGGTCCTGGAACAGAATGCATGGTCATGTTGTTGATGGTTTCTTCACAGTTAACTGGAGACAGAGATACATCTGATATTGTGGAGATGTCAGTAGTGTTTTGAGTCTCATTCATGAAAAACTTATTTGTGTGTTTGATGTGAAGACTGATGAATGGTTCACTGAACACAAGAGTTGTGTTGTAACTTCAGTATTTCAGTTATTGTCTTATTGTTAACAAATTATGGTCCATCTTCTTCCAGTAAAGAATCTGGACTGAATGTGGTTGTCGCTCTGAATTCTGTCTCTTTGAAGTATTGCGAGATTCATTGCTCCTTGTGTCTCTCCTAGAACTCTATATGACACAGCTTCTGCTCTATGTTCTCTTTTTCTCTAACCAAAGTTTCCTTTTGTGCCTCAGAAAGTCTGTTGCCCATTGTCTTCGTCTGTAGAGGGAGCACCTCTCTACAATTTGCATATTCTCCTGCTTGGCCACTGAACTCATTCTCACAAGAAACTGGTTTAGATCCACGATGGCCATATCGTCTTCCGAGCATATTTCAATAAGGTCACGATTTATTTGGTCCCAATTTATGTTCTTATGGATGAGGCTGAATTTGTTGAATTCAACCTCATGAGTGACCGTGTTTCTCTGACCCGGGTAAACGTGCACGCAGGTCTGAACCTCCATTATGTTACGGTCTGAGATTGCAGTCTTCGATGCTGTTATGTCCGAGATAAGGTCCTCAATGTTTGTAAATGTGTCTTGGGTGTTCCTAGTCTGGTCAGTTTTGCTATTCGCTAACTTAAGGGAAATTTATGCAGACGTTTAATAAGTTTGTTCCCGCGAGGCTGCTCGTCCGCACTGGCTCCAGGGACTCTCACTGCAGATACAATCTTTGCTACTGTCTTTAGTTTTAGATATCCGAACAAGGTATTGGGGGCTGGGTTTGACAGGTTATCAAGACAAGGGGTTCAGGATTCCAAGCTGATGTAATTCCAAGAGCTATACCAGAGGTAGAACCATCATTGACAGCACCGGCACTAATACTGCCACCAGATCCTCCAGTACTAGAACTGGTATTAGTAGTGTAGCCAGCCCCATTAGTACCAACACTGTAACTAGTATCAGAACTAGACCCACCAGTACCAGTCCCTACACAGACCCCAGAAACACCATGGGTCGCAGCACCAACATCACCAGTACCATTATCACCAATTCCACCAGCATCATCATCACCAGTACTATCATCACCAGTACCAGCATCACCAGTACTATTATTCAATACCAGCATCACCAGTGCCAGCATCACCAGTACCAGCATCACCAGTACTATCACCAGTACCAGCATCACCAGTGCCAGCATCACCAGTGCCAGCATCACCAGTACTATTACCAAAACCAGCATCACCAGTGCCAGCATCACCAGTACCAGCATCACCAGTGCCAGCATCACCAGTACCAGCATCACCAGTACCAGCATCACCAGTACTATCATCACCAGTACCAGCATCACCAGTGCCAGCATCACCAGTGCCAGCATCACCAGTACCAGCATCACCATTTACCGCTCACCAGTCAGTCACCAGTACTAGTCACCAGTACCAGCATCACCAGTGCCAGCACCACCAGTACCAGCATCACCAGTACCAGCATCACCAGTACCAGCATCACCAGTACCTAGCATCACCAGTACTATCACCAGTACCAGCATCACCAGTACCAGCATCACCAGTACCAGCATCACCAGTACCAGCATCCCGTACCAGCATCCAGTACTAACATCACCAGTACCAGCATCACCAGTACTAGCATCACCAGTACCAGCATCACCAGTACTATCATCACCAGTACCAGCATCACCAGTACCAGCATCACCAGTACCAGCATCACCAGTACCAGCATCACCAGTACCAGCATCACCAGTACCAATCACCAGTACCAGCATCACCAGTACCATCATCACCAGTACCAGCATCACCAGTACCAGCATCACAGTACCAGCTCACATACCACACCAGTACCAGTATCACCAGTACCAGCATCACCAGTACCAGCATCACCAGTACCATCACCAGTACCAGCATCACCAGTACCATCATCACCAGTACCAGCATCACCAGTACCAGCATCACCAGTACCAGCATCACCAGTACCAGCATCACCAGTACCAGCATCACCAGTACCAGCTTAATACACTCAGTGCCTTAAATCACATGGTACTTAATATACACCAGTCACATATCACCTAGTACACATTCTACCAGTAACCAGCATCACCAGTACCAGCATACACCAGGTTTATCACCAGTACCAGATCACCAGTGCCTACATCACCAGTACTAGCATACACAGTACCACATATCACCAGTCTTGCATCACCAGTCAATATCACCAGTTACCAGATCACAGTACCGCATATACACAGTACGATCACCATACCAGCATGCCGTACCATCACCAGTACTAATTCACCAGTCCTACATCACCAGTTACTATATACACCAGTGTTAACATCCACCAGTGCACAGCATCACCAGTTCTAAGCATCACCAGTGACCTGCATCTACCAGTGCAATCACCAGTACTATCATCACCAGTACACAGCATCACTCAGTACCTATATCACCAGTACTAGATCACCAGTGGTATACCACATCACCAGTAGCTTAATATCCCAGTGTAATACCATGTCTAATCACCAGTACCTATATCACCAGTGTACCTAGCATCACCAGTTACCTAACATACACCAGTTCTTAAGATCACCAGTACCATATCACCAGTACCAGGCTTCAACCTATACACAGTCTAATATACCCAGTTCTTATAACCAGTGCTATCACCAGGTACCTAACTATCACCAGTGACCTTAGCATCACCAGTGGACTTCAACATACCCAGTGCCAGCTATACACAGTGCCAGCATCACCAGTCCGTCAATCACCAGTTACCAGCATAACACCAGTACCTTAAGATCATCCAGTGCCAGCATCACCAGTACCAGCATCACCAGTACCAGCATCACCAGTACCAGCATTACCTTCTAGAACCAACACCAGTGGTCTTAATATACACCAGTGGTCTTAATATACTCCAGTGGTCTTAATATACTCCAGTGGTCTTAATATACACCAGTGGTCTTAATATACTCCAGTGGTCTTAATATACACCAGTGGTCTTAATATACT